ACATACAATGTAACATCATCTTCTTGCGAAACACTAATGTAAGCAATGAATCATTCAACATCTTCATTGTCGGTTAACAAATAAACTTTACCTTTTCTCTGATAAGATAGCCTAAATCCACTTAGAGGCTCTAAATTCAATTTCTTTACAACACGTAACATTAGAGCTTCATAAGTTAACTTTTTTAATGATAGTTTTAGTTGAAGATTCATGGGTAAAGGCATATATTCTAAAACACCATGAACATTCTCCCATGACCCTCCAAACCATAAATCTATCCAAACATGATCAACATTAGATGATTTCATTCTACAAATTGTAAATTAATTTACTAAACAAACGAACTATAAACTACATATCATCACTAACTTAGAGAAAAAAATACCTTTATTAAGTTGATAGTTGATAATTTGGGAAAGAAATCATTGAAAAATTATATAGAAATAAAATTATGTAAAAAAAATAGAGATGGAGAAGGATGTCGTTGGATATAGGAACGAATGTCGCCGGAAAGAGTGATAGATGGAGATGGAATGAGTTGCGATTTAGGGATTTAGGTTATGAGTTGCTGCTGCTACGTAGTTATATACCCAAAACATTTGTGTTGCGAAACTAAAACTTGTTGCAATATTAAAATTCGTGTTGCGAATTCGAAAATCGAGTTGCGAAAACAAAATTCGCGTTGCGAATTCAGAAATCGAGTTGCGAATTTGAAATTTAGTATTACGAATTTGGAAACTGAGTTGCGAAATTGGAGTTCGCGTTGCAAATTTGTTGGTCATTTTCACAAATCCAAAAAAAGTTGGTTAAAATCGTATATTATAAGGCATTTTCGGTCACTGAAGTTATTTTCTCTATTATAAATTGGCACTTAGGTTCCATCCTCATAAAAATCCCGGTGATGAGATATAAACTCAAGTTTGTTTTTTAATGTTGAAATTAGGCTTCAAATATATAATAAAATTTGGTGAATTATATCGGGTACACTAATCGAATATAATAATGCCGACAAATTTTTATTGCAAAATATCAGAAGGAAATCAAATTCTCATATTACAAATGAAGTAAAGAAACAATCATCAATCAGTTAAACCCAAGTAATCAAGTTTGAGCCCTTCAATACAATATATATAATTTGTCGGATTAGTGTAGCTAATCATACATTTAAGCAAATAAAGAAACAAGGAAGGCTCCAACCAAGGACCCTAGAACAGGCAATGTTGAGGTTGCAACGCTGGACTCTGGGCCTGGTGCAGAAGCTGGTGCGGCCCCATCCAAGGCGGAGTCAAGTGGGAGGCACCTGGGGTGGCTGCGGCTGCTGGGACCACGATAACAGCGCAAGAGATCTTCTTCATGTCTATATTGTTGGAGAGACCTTCCTTGATTGTGTACTGAAAAACTTTTTTTTTTTAAGCCGTGCCTTTTAGTTTTTATTATTCTGCAGGTGAGAAGGAGGTCAGTTCATGGGTGATTTTATACCTTTCCTTTTGCCTTCTAATTAGGGTTTCTGTTTTGTTCCTTTGGTTTTGCATGGTTTTAGGATACACATTTTGACTCCCCATTCTCCATAAAAAATTTAAAAATTATATTTTGTATTTTTTATTACCTTTGCTCTTTAAAATCTGCAATTCTAAAAAATGTTAACAACTCATTCAATTTAGTTTCTTAATTTAGGCTATTCATTTTTTTGTGGTGCAAAAACTTGAAATATATTTAAAAAAATAATATTATAATTTTGAGTTGAAAAAGTTGAATAAAAAAATAAATACGTTAAATCTAGTAGTTAAATTTATTTACTTTCATAATTTAAGATAATAGCTTAGTATAATGTTTAAAATAAGTTAATGGAACAAGTTTGTTTTGTCAGTAATTTGTGGTTCACCTCATTTTATTTAGGTGAAGAATTGCCTTCACCGGACGCTGGAGCTGGATTCGCCGTCGGAGTTTCTGCCGCCGCCGTTGGTTTCTCCTTGATTGTTTCTCTTCTTGCTTTCTTCAGGCATTAAATTTGAGGGCTTGTTTAGCCGTCCACTGCGCGTGCTTCTCTCTGTTTTGGTTTTGTGTCATTAGAGTGTTGTAATGAAGTCCTGTCTTTGAATAAAATAGTTGCAGTATGAATTTTTTGCAACAATTGAGCAAACTTTATTATTGAACGCGACGAATAACATATAAAATCATTTAAACTCATTTTTTATAGTATACTACTATATAATATCAACCTCTGTCTTTATCAACGGAGTTGGTTCAAATGGTAAACACTTTGATATCGCTTAACCAATATTACAATTTCGAGTCATAATATATGCAGAAAATTCTCACTGAGAGATTTATCCACCAAAACCAGATGTGTAACCCAGGTCGATCTAGATTAGTCAGAAATAAACCTTGGAACTATAGAACAAAAAAATATCAACCTATATCTTTTATGATCGAAAAAACTTCAATTTCATTTTTTATGTAAACTTACCATTTCTTTTATGAAATCTAACACAAATCTTCATCTTGTATAGATGATTTTTTTATTCAGAAAAAGATACAGATGAATTTTTTTAAAATAAACAATTATTTTATATTTTTCGGACTTCTTTTTAACTTCACTTCGTATTGATTATTTTTACTGCATTAATATCATGTATTTTTTTCAATATTATTTAAATTGATAATTTTTTTGGATAATTCAGAATTTTATTACCAAAAATAGTAAAGTTTTGCTATAACCAATCAACCAATCAACAAAATAAACAAAAAAGCCTAATTACAAAACCAATGATTGGTTAGTAGACTATACCCCAAGCATTACAAAGGTAAAAGTTAGTACTATCAAGTCTGTTAATAGATTTGCCCCTAAGGCGAGTACCAACAGCATCAATGATTTCTTTGAGTATAATGTCTAGGGTTCGAAAACGACCTTGAAACATTCTCTGGTTTTGTTCCTGTCACAAGGAGTAGATGAAAGCATTCCACGAAATCTTCAAAATCGTGGTAATAAGGGATTTCCCTTTCCAAGTTGAGCTAGCTCGAGAGACCATTTCTTCTCATGTTAAAGCAGTATAATTCATCCCATTCAGCTTTAGGACTGATTTCCAAAGACCACCTGCCAAGGAATAATGTGAAAAAAGATGCTCTCTAGTTTCTTGGTGTATGTTGCAGTTAACACAGAGTCCATCTGTGCAAATTCCCATTCTTTGTAAACGATCTCTGGTAGGTAACCTATTCAAAATGGCCATCCAAGCAATCAAGCTATGCTTTGGAATATACATATGATACTATATAAGTCGATGCCAATGAACTTTCTGCCCCTGCAACTGAATGTTTTCCCATATTTCCTTAGTCCGCAGGGAACCAAAAGCAATAAGAGGAAAAGCAGTAGACCTCAGTTTTAAAATTCTGCAGAAGCCCCAGCTAACATTAGTTCCAGCTTCAAAATGCTAGAAATACTGCTCTTTAAGGACATATTTTTAAAGCCATGCAGCCCAAAGTGAACCATTACCAGCAAGAATCTTCCTTATGAGGCTTATAGTGCAAGCTCTATTCCAAATGGAAATATTAATCAGTCCTAATCCTCTTTCGGACTTAGTAATGCAAATACTATCCCATCTTACTCGGGCTCCAGCAGTAGGTTTGTCATCACCTTTCCAGAAGAACCTTGAGCAAAGTTGGTCTACTATTTTTAAGATCGAGGCTGGGAAGACAAGCTATCTGCACCAGAAATTACTGATACTAAACAAAACATATCAAATTAGCTCAAGTCTACCAGCGTAACTAAGGTTTCGAGCAGACCAGTGGTGCAACCGTTGTCTAATTTTGTCAAGAAGAGGTTCGTAATCCTTCACAGTGAGTTTGCGAGTAAAAAGAGGGATGCCAAGATACCTAACAAGCAGAGAACCATATTTAAAACCAGAAATATGCTTAATATCCTCTAAGACCCTAGAGGAAATCCCCGCAACGAAGAGCTAAGATTTTGAAGAATTAAGTTTTAGCCCTGAAATTTTATAGAACTGATCAAGAACACTTAGAACACTAGCCACATAATCGATGTTACCTTTGTAGAAAATCAGAAGATCGTCTGTAAAAGAAATATGAGTAAGCCCGATATTCTTGCATTTTGGGTGAAAAGCAAAGATTCCTTTAGAAACAGTCAAATTAAGCATTTTTGAAAGGACATTCATAGCAAGGATGAACATATAAGGGGAAAGAGGGTCCCCCGGTCTAAGTCCTCAAGCCCCTTTGAAATAACCAATTAAGGTACCATTGAAGGAGATAGAGTACCTTACTTGAGAAAAACAAACTTCAATCCAAGTAATAAACCTTTGAGGGAGATGGAGGGATGTTAGAATAGATGTAATGAAGTTCCAATGCAAGAAATCAAATGCCTTATGTAAGTCAATCTTCATAGAGCTTCTAGGAAAAATTGATTTTCTACCATAGCCTTTAACCATCTCCTGAGCAAGAAGGGACTTGTCGATGATGTTTCTACCTCGTATAAATGCAATTTGGTTCAAGGAAATAATATTAGGGAGGAAATCACTTTATTCTGTTAACAAGAATTTTAGAAATAATCTTGTAGATAACGAAACAGTAGGAGATAGGCCTAAAGTCTTTGACCGTGAAGGGATTAGGGAAGTTAGGAACAAGAGCAATAATTATGGAGTTAAAAGTTGGATGAATGTTGGATTTGCAAAAGAAATAATTGAAAGCTTTAATGACATCTTCACCAACTATGGACCAGGTTTTCTTGAAGAAGTAGGGGGTGAAAATGTCCGGTCCAGGAGCCTTATCATTACCTTGGCAAAAGATGGCATTTTGGATTTCTTCAACAGTAACATTCTTAACAAGAGTAGAGGCATATTCGAAAGGCAATGAAAATTTAAGGAGATCTTTTAGTATTGAATGATTAATATCCTTAACCATAAAATCTGTCGTACCAAGAAGTTTAGAGAAAAAAAGTAATAACTTCATTGGCCATGGCATCAAAAGAATCTAGTCTATCCCCTCTATCATCAAGGACTCTGATGGTATCTCTTTTTTTTTTTAAAGGCTACAATAGAATGGAAAAAATTGGTATTTTTGTCGCCATCTCTAATCCATTGAACTTTTGTCTTTTGCTTAAAAAACAATGATTCAACTTCTTCAAGGGTTTTCAACTGCTTATGAATTGCAAGTTCCTTCTCTATGGCTTCCTCACCTTTAAGAGTAAGAAGTTGTTGATTTTCCAACTCCATTCTCTTTAATTTAACTCTATCTAAGAGGTTGCTATAATTTTCTTGTTTAAACCTTATGAGACAATCTTTGAGTCTTCTAAGTTTTGTGAACAGAACCATCATAGGATTGCCTTGAACTTCTTGATGCCAAGAGTTCCTTACTACATTCAAGAAATTGGGATGAGCAGCCCAGAAATTTAAAAAATTGAAAGGTTTAGGCCTGGAGGCTGGAATATCTTTTGAAAGCCATATAATGGCAATGATGTGGTCAGAGATTCCAGGGGCAAGGAATTCCACAAAAGATTGTTGAAAGATGGGAGCCCAACTAGGATTTATTATAACCCTATCAAGTTTCCTACCCAGAAATAATTCATGTTGCTTATTACTCCAAGTGAACTTAGGCCCAAAGAAAGGGTGGTCAAGAAGAGCAAACTCTTGAGTGAATTCTTGGAATTCTTTCATATCAGGAGAATTGTAATGGCCTATCAGATCATGATCTGAGCTTTCGTGGGAATGCAAGAATATATTAAAATCCCCACCTAATACACATGAGGACTGATTAACAATGGAATTAACCTCCTTAAGTTTGAGCCAAAGTTGTCTTCGATTTATCCCATCATTACTTCCATAGATGGCCGAAATGAACACCGAATTACCAAGAACATCCCTTTTGCAGTAATACATTGATCAGAAACTTGAATAATTGATAAATCGATTCCCTTCCTCCAAAGCATCCAGATTCTGTCATTAATGGCATGATCATAATTAAAGCAAACATTCCAATTTAAGAATTTAGTGCTAAGGATAGCCTCTGATTTTTCCACTTTAACTCTTGTCTCCAATAGACAGAGAACATCCACATTATTTTGTATGGCTCTATGAACCACTTTATTCTGTTTTAGAGGATTGTTTAGTCCTCTAATGTTCCAAAAATTGATTATCATTTGAATGGTGATCCCAAGGAACACCCTTGACTTTCAACTAGATGACTTTTAGCTTTGTCAAGCTAATCTTTCTTTTTTGATTTGAGTTCTTTTACCAAACCAGCAACTCCAGTGATGCTGCTCTAGGCTTCCTTGTTTGATTTTCTATAATAGGATCTTCAATAGAATTTAGAATTTCAAATCTGTTTTTTGAACCTGAAATATAACCCTTAGCATTTTCCTTACTTGGTCTACCTCTACCCCGTTTAGAAGGCAATGGCTGAGAAGTGATATCAGTAACAGAGTCTTCAACAGACAGAATGCTTGATTGGACATTTGCAACAACTATTTTATAGATTGAGTCATTAACCACTTCAGCCTTATGTTGCAAATTCTATGAAACAACATCAACAAAAGGAGCAGTGTGCTCTAGCTTATCAGAATGAACAACTTCTGTCTTCTCCTGCTGAATAGTAACTATAGCATCGACAGAAGGAGCAGAGTGTTATAGCATCAACAGAAGGAGCAGAGTGCTATAGCATCAACAGAAGGCGCAGAGTGCTCTAGCTTATCAGAAGGAACAACTTATGTCTTCTCTTGCTAAATATTAGCTATAGCTTCAATACCATCATTACTAGTTGGTTCTTGTAGAGTTTCGACTCCTCCAACAAGAATAGCAGCCGAATTAACAATAGTTTCTCCCTTCTTTTTCCAGACTTGGGGAACAGCAGGGGTTGCATTTGACTTGTGTTGGCATCCTTTATCATTATACCCGAACACTTTACATTTCTTGCATGAAGGTGGTAGCCATTGAACCTCAACGTAGATCGAGGTTTTTTGACCATCTTTGAGAGCAACTTCAATAAACTTAGGTATGTTATCATTAACCCCGATTTCAATACAAACTTTAGCAAACTATAGCCTAGATTTTGAAGCAGTAATATTGTCCATTGAGAGAAGGATGCCAATGGCACTAGCTATGTAACTAAGGCCAACTCGGGAGAAGAGTTCTAAGGGAATATTAAACAGATGAACCCAAATAGGGATCTTAGTTAAGTAAAAAATACGAGTTTTCAAGCTTGGTTCCCACTTTCTAAGGATTAGGGTTTTGTTCTAAACATGTCATGGGCCATTAACGAGCACCCAATCCCTAGCCGATTCACTATCAAACGTGAAGATAAATAAATTATTGCCAGCAGAACTAACCTGGACTCGCGAACCCCCAAGGCTTTACTCCATAAGCTATCAACGATTCTTTGCAGTGAAGCGAATCTTGGTGTGGCTCCAAGGAACTGACCCACCAGTGACAATTTCCATTCGGAAATTCTAGCTTCAATAATCTCTAGTGGGGGAAGAATGATCGAGGTTTCATCACGAATATTTGGGGGGAAATATTCTAGGTCTTGCGATTCAGAGCACTTGAATAATTTTCTCCAATTCATTTGTAGTACAGAAAAGAAGGTAGTGAAAGCCCAACAACAGCGAAAATTTGAGATGGAAATCGGAAAGAACAACCGGCGGCTGATCAACAAGAAACTCGAGCGCCATTAGTCCTCAATAAATCTTGATTAAATTGATAATTTTTATTATATCAACTTTCAATAATATTTAACCTCCATCAAATAATTGATGAGATACTACTAAGAGAAGAATCAAAGCAACATGTTTTTATTGACGGTTATCATTTTTTCAAGAAATGGCGCAAGTTAGCATGTGGAAGGCCTTGTTGTTGGCTTTGGTAATGGCAATCTTGACCGTTGCCTCTGCGCAGGTTGGTGAGGGCCCGTCCCTCTCACCAGACGCTAGAGTTGGATTCTCCGTCGGAGTTTCTACCGCCGTCATTGGCTTCTCCTTGATTGTTTCTCTTCTTGCATTCTCCGAGTATTAATTTAAGGGCTTGTTTGGCCTCCCCCATGCATGTGATTCTCTCTTTTTGATATTGTATTTATGATACAATTATTTCCTACTTCATTATATTATTGTGATGAAGTCGATTCATTGAATAAAATGCTTCTTGTATGAGTTTTTTTTTTTTTTGGAATGTCTTCCTCATTGTAGCGATTGAATCTAGATTTAAGCATACTTCAAGGCCAAGTAAACTTAAACCATTAAATCATTTTGGGGGTTAATTTGAACTGCCGACTGTGGACCGTAAGTCTCAACATGTAGCCTTAAATAAGAGCAGCAGCAGCAATCATGCTCTCTTATCACAAAGTTTGCTATTTAGGAGTGAAAATGAGTCCAAACTCCAAAACACTATTCTAAAATCAGTAAATTACTCCTTACTCACTGAATTATACTCTCTTTTTTATTTGATTCACTATACTTTTAATTTTTTTAATTTACTATGAATTATATTATTATTTTTGTATGACATGACATTTTATTATTATTTAATATAAAATAAAAACATAATGTGGTCGGATGCCACCATCGGCCACGGTCAACCGCCATAGATGGTAAGTCTCAAATTTCATGGGTCACGTCGCCTCGACACCATGAGTCCAAATCAGACTTCCATTTTGTCAGAACTTGCTTTGAAGTGCACAAATTAGAGATTGAAAGTGGGGAAGGTGAAACGTTTCAATCGAAAGATTCACGGGGTTTGAGACATTTTTCGAAAATCCACCAGATTCGAACTCAGGGGTCTAGACAAACCGACCCATAAAATTTGGGATCAAATGGGCATCATCTACGGTGGTCAATGGTGGCTGGCGATGGCTTCTAACAACCTTCTATTTTTATTTTATATTTCTAATTATTTTATATTCCTCGGTCCCATAAAATATATCTATTATTGACTTTTTTTATATTTTAAAACTTTGACTAGTTATTATTTAAAATTTATTATTGATAAAAATATATAAAAATATGTTTTAAAAAAATTCAATCAAATAGTTTTTAAATATATTTTTTATAAAATTTAATTATTTAAAACAATTATGGTCAAAGTTTAAAAAACGTTGACTTTTAAAAAGTTAATAAGGGACATTTTTATGGGACGGGGAGTATTAGATAATAATAATAATAATAATAATAATAATAATAATAATAATAATAATAATAATAATAAAATGGCATGTCATACAGAAATAATAAAATAATTCAAAGTGATCAAAAGATGAGCAATTCAAAATTTTAGTGAGTAAATTAAAAAAATTGAAAGTACGATGAGTAAAATAAGAGAAATAATATAGTTCAGTAAGGAATTGTGTAATTTACCCTTCTAAAATTCGACTTCAAAACCTGTAAACGCGTAAATCTAAGTTTTTTAGGGTAAACTATATGTTAATCTCTAATTATCACTTTTATTTTGTTTTGATAATTCAACAATTTTTTTAAAAAACATACATAATGTTTAGTTCTGGTTTTATTTTTGTCTCCCACCATTAGAAAATTAACATAATTGTCAATGCCACATTTTTTTTATTGTTTTCAAGGATAACGTAACATTATTTTAATTTTTAATGATGGGTGGTCAAAATGAAAGCAAAACTAAAGGTTAAGTATGATTTTGAAACAAAAAATAATTTAGTGATTAAAACATAAGAAAAATGATATTTGAGATACTAAATGTGTAATTTACCTAATTTTTTTAAAACCCGATATTGTTTTACTCAAATATACTATTGAACATTTATTTTTCATCCAAACACTCAAAAATAATTAATTTTCAAATTAATACCCTTTTGATCACATAAGATGAAAACGTTTTTTTTTTTTTGTAGGAAACGACTTTTATTAAGATTTCACCATCCTGACAAATCAAACATCTCCCGTTCATAGCAATGTGTCGACGATAACGCTCCACATTAGTTAACAACTTACCATGGAGCACTAGCCAAAGGAAGGATTTCACTCGCTGTGGCACCTTTCGCTTCTAAACATGTCTCCATGGAAAATCACTCCGACTGTTCTCCGATGATGATAGCGCTCGATAGGCAGATCAAATCGTAGAAGGTGAGTTGGCTCCCTTATCCACCCTGACAAACAACAGCTATACGATTGCATATCCACTCAGGAACAAGTGACCTCAACTTACACCAATCCTACTCCCCTGATACCGTGACTAACATACACACCGGCAAAGGTTGCGGAGCTCCAGGCAGTAAGCAATGATCCACCAAAGGCCCCGTATCCTCCAGCCAAATATCTCTCCAAAAATCAGTCTTCACTCCATCCCGAATATTCTAAATTATATTTTGTCAAATTTTGTCCCCAATACAGCGTAAGCCCCTCTAGAGCCGCAAGCAGCGTGGACTCCGATATCTACCGGCACAACCTCATTCCATTGTGATAACTCCATAAAAAGGCTATATTTAAGGTCTTTTCACTTAACTTATTGATTGTCTAAATGTCTATATAGGTTTATTTTAGATACATTTAGAATCATGTAGTTGCATTTGGTGGATGTGTTTTACCTTAGCATGTTGTTTGTGAAAGTGCTATGTTATGGGGAAGGTTTGGTTGTTTGTTTTTGATTTGCATGATGTAAGGAGCAAAGGTGTGCGAGGAAAAATGCCATGGCATAACAAGTTGCTGAAGTAGAATGAAATGCCTAGGCATTTCTGGACGCAGAAAAAGACAGAAGATATTTTCAGAAATGACATGTATTTTCAGCACGTGTTTGTTGCTGCTAGCCACCTAAAAGGGGTTCACTGCCACCTATTGTACTCACATTCACATGGAGGGAATGATCCTAGGGTACTATGGGAAATTTGGTACATTACCCTAAGTGCATTCCTTGGATATTTATAGAAT